GCGGGAGAGGAGACTGAGTCCAGCACCACGGCCCGTGACACCATCGTCAGGCCCATGCGGTGGGGCCTCCAGGAAAGCCGCTGACTGACAGCGTCCGGGGCTCTGAGTTGCTGGACTCACCCGTGTGCTGGGAGGGTGGTGCACCCCAGCTGCTCGGGGCCCCTCCCAGACCTCAGCCTGCCCGCCTCCCTCTCGGGCTGTCCATTGTACCCGTTAAACAGGAGATGGTAAGTGAAGTGTTTTTCAGAGTTTTGTTCTAGCAAACTGAAGTGGGGGGTCGGGGGGACCCTGGCGTCGAAGGGGCAGTCCTCTGGGGTAACTCTGGGTGTCCGAGCATCATTGAACTGAATTGTAGGAAACTCCACTGGTGTCTGAGAGCTGGAGACCAGGTTGTTTGGGGAAACAACGTACATATTTGGTGTCAAAAGTGTATGAGTAAAAGCAGATGGATGGGAGTGCCTGGCTGGTTCAGTCAGTGGAACGCACGACTCTGGGTCTCGGGGTTGTGAGCCCGAGCCCCACGTTGGGGGTAGAGCTGACTTAAAAATAATAATAATCTTTTTTTAAAGATTTTATTTATTCATTTGAGAGAGAGCAGGGACAGAGGGAGAGGGTGAAGCAGACTCCCCGCAGAGCAGGGAGCCCGACGCAGGACTCGATCCCAGGACCCTGGGACCATGACCCGAGCCGAAGGCAGACACTTAACCGACTGAGCCACCCAGGCGCCCCAAAAGTAATAAAAATCTTTTTAAAAAACCAGATGGCCAGCGCACAAGCAAGCTCTAGCAGATGCTGGGATGGGAAACCCGTCATGTCCACCCTCACTGGCTTGGGACAGAAGCATGACCTTTCCCAAATCAAGGCCCCGGCATCAGTGGTCGACCAGTCCCAAGTCAGATCCGCCACCCACTGACCACAGCATCCCAACATTCAGCCTGACACCCCCCACCTGGCCTCCCCTTCATCACTGCTCCCCTGACGGTAAGATGCTAATTCAATTTGAACTTAATTAATTGAACTCATTAAAAATCTAACTCCCCCCTTGCGAGAGAAACCCGAGGGAGATGTGTGGGCAGGCCAGGCTGTGAGGGCCACAGACACTCAACGGTGTGAAGTTTCTGCTGCCCCCCTCCCCCCAGGGACAACAGCGTCCCAGGAGAGGGAGGGCTTGAGGGCGCGTGGGGCCTGCCAGAGCTGGGCAGACGCGGGCCAGGCACGCAGGTGTCCGTGCATGCTGGCTCTACGGCTGGGAGCTCATCCCAGCTTGTCCCTCCAAGCGGGACACAGGGTCCTCACCGCTCCTCCATCCTGCTGAGCCCTCCCTGGGAGGACACACTATCCAGGAGGGACCTCAGGACCCAGGAGCTCTGGGGAGGCGGTTGCGGGTCAGTGGCCTCGACCGTGCACTTGATTGATTACGGCTTCTCCCCAACCCCGTCCATCCGTCCTGGCTGGCCATGCACGGCTGGCGCCCAGCAAACCCTCCGGAGAGCAGGGGCCCCGGCTGAGACCAACGGGGCCCTGGCAGATGCCATCCCACGCCGAAAGGGCACATGTTAAGGCCACAACCTTCATCCTGCACCATCTCAAAAGCGCAATTACACACCGCTTGGGGATTTATAAATGAGTCACTTTCCCCCTTTCACCATGGGGGCTTGGGCTCCAACACTTGGCTTTGATCCAGGTCTTGCCAGGAGCAAAACTCGTAATGGGAATTGCCAACTGGGGTCTCAAAAGGCCAGGGGCACCAGAAGCTCCAAGAGGTCACATTTTGTCACAAGAAGGCGCCTTGTGAGTGTCGGGAACGCAGCCGCTCCCAAGACCCCGAGCCCGCTGGCAATGGCCCTGCCCGCACGCGCCAGGCTGGCTGTGGGCGGGGCGGACGGGGCAGGACTCTCCCAGGGCCCCGGGACAGCCGCGCAGACGGGTCCTCGTTCAGCAGCACATCTCTGCTCTCCGGTTCTAGAGCTGCAGCCCGAGGCCGGCTCCTGCTGAGCCCGGAGGGAGACTCTGTTCCAGCCTCTTGCAGCTGCTGGAGGCCGAAGCGCGTCTGGAAGCTCGGCCCCCGCTCCGTGTGTCCACCTCCTCAGTGCCCGGACAGACTGGGGCCCCCCGGTGACCTCGTTTCCCCCCATCCCCTCTCTGAAAGCCCCATCTCCAGACGCAGGTGCATCCGAGGTGCTGGGGGAGAGGGTGGCGACGCACCTGCTCTGAAGGACACAGTTCAACCCCTAACAGTTGCCTGCGTGTGAGGACTCTCGGGTTCCACCCGTCAGCCCTGACGTCTCTGTCCCTCACCCTTGACCTCAGGCCTCCGAGAGCGCCTGCCAGATGGGAGTGCCTGGTCTTGAGAACGCCACATCCCAGGCCTTGTCCCCTGGCTTGGCGCCCACTACGCATCCAGGACCCGCTGCGTGCCAGAGGTGTGGGGTCACAGACTGCACCCTGGAGAGAGCAGCCGTGCCTCCCTCCGCCCACGGGAAACGCCGGTCTGCTCCCCATCCCTCGTCACAGGGCCGTCTGCGGCACTCGCGCTCTGCTCTCTCCCTGGGCCCACGCGGGCCCCTGGGGACAGCTGAGCCTGGGACACCAGCCCAGGCGTGCACACGTTTCCCAGAGCGCCTCTCCGACCACCATGGGCTCCCGGCCCCAGGCCGCCCCGGCCTCGCGCCTCACCGCCCCCGGGTTGGCAACAGGGCAACGGGGCGGACAGCTGTGAGCCACGGAGCCCCACGCCGGCCCTGGTTCCAGCCACGTGGTGGGAGGGCACGCCTCGCGGTGGTCAGGGCCGGCCCTTCCTGGAACACACGACCTGGGGCGTGCCCTTGCCCGGACGACCCCCAGGCACTCACAAGAGAGCTGGGCAGAACGGCTCACCAGGCCCCCTTCCGGGGGACCCACGAAATTCTGGAGGCAAGTGCTCTTGAGGGGGATGCACTGCCCACCTGCACCCAGGAGACCCTTACTCTGCTGATGGGAGCACACACTGCCCACTTCTTTGGGGCTCACATTTCACTTAAAATAGCCGCTCAGTTCCCAGAGGAACAGAGTGTGAAGCAAGGGCCACTGCAGGGGACAATCCAGTGGCCCGTGGACCCCAAGCCCTTCATCATCTGCTGCCACTTGGGGAGGACAGGAGCGGACAAAGGGAGGCGCACGGGAGCGGGCCCGGGCCCGAGCACTGCCATGTTCCTGGTCCGAGCAAAGAAGCCTGGGGGGCAGCCTTGCGGGGGCTGCTGCGGCGTGTGCCGGGGGCGGGCCGGCGGCCTCCCTCCCCGGCTTGTCCTTGCCCTCTCCCGTCCTAGCAGCAGACACACTCAGAAGGCCAGCAGCCAACGTCCCGGCCAGAAATGCCACCCGGTTCCCACACGGGCTTCGAACACAACTCCTCTCAGGCTGGTTCTTGCGCCAGGACACATGGCACAGGGAGTGTGCCTACTGATGAACGTGGAGCCCCAGCACCTTCCACGGCCCCCACGGAGGAGTCGGAGGAGCGCGGGAGAGGCGGCGGCAGGAGGCAGGCGGAGAGGAACCCACCACGCTCGCGCGGTCTCTCCTCGCACGGGGCCCCTCGGCTCGCCTGTGCCCGGGCCCTCCGCAAGCGTGTAGCCCTCGTCCCGTCCGTGCCCACACAGCTTCCCTTGGCCCCCTCGGCGTCGCCTGGAGACGGCTCCACCTGGAACACACCACTGCTCGCGCTTAGTTCTCGTGGCGTCGCCGGGAACGCAGCGCCCGAGCCAGTCAGGGAAGACCGCACTTTGCCGGACCTGGAACGTTATCAAGAGCCCCAGGATTTACGTCACAGATCCCCGTGTGCTTTGTCTGCTGTCCTGAGAGCACAGCCACCGAGGGCAGTGACAACTCGCAGGTGCAGGAACCAGCCGCGTGCCTTCCAGGACGGCCGCGCCTGAGAGTCTACGAGTACGTTTTGTTCAAATTGCTATCTTTATTTTTCATATTCTTTCCAAACCGGGCAAGTGATTAGGTTTTATTTTCTCCAGATTTCACTGCAGACAGTAAAGCAAGTGTTCTAGGGTATCTGTCACAGCGGGGGCAGGGGTCCAGCCGGTGGGGAGCAGCGTGGCTGCCCAGGGACAGGAGGGGGGACGTGCCCGTTTGGCCACGGCTCGCCTCGGACGGAAGCCTCCGCCTCCAGTGCACCCTGAACCACAGGCCTCGGCTCAGCCACCTTTCCCGCCCACCAAGCTGTGCCTGAGACAAGTGTGAGGCTCCCAAGAAGACGGACCACGGTGAGAAAGAATGAGAAATCCCAGATCTGTGGAAAGAGGCACTTCCGTAAAACACCCAAGCGCCGCTGAGGGGGAGGGCGCTGGGCTGAGGCTCCCCGGCAGCGAGGGGCCCCCAGCCTGCACCTGCCCACGCGGCCAACAGCGGAGCACACTGAGGTGGGGCGCAGGCAGGTGGGGGCTGCCTCAGCAGAGGGGTTCCGAGAAGCGTCTGAGCGCTGCAGTAAGCAACGCATGAGGAGCGGGGCTGGAAAAAAGGGAAAGCTATAACGCAGTTCCTCATTTCGCAACACGGCTAACGTTTTTTAAAGATTTATTATTTTAGAGCGAGAGCATGAGAGCACGTGAGCAGGGGGAGGGCAGGGGGAGAGGGAGAGCATCTCCAGCCGACTTCCCACAGAGCCCGGTGTGGGGGCTCCTTCCCGGGAGCCTGAGATCACGGCCCAACATCACGACCCCAGCCAAGATCAGGAGCTGGACGCTCAACCGACTGAGCCACCCAGGCGCCCCCCCCCCAATAATGTTTAAAAAGGGAACGGTGGTGGAGGCCAATGGCTGGCGCCCCGCTCTGCCTCGGGGGGCCTAGGGGCGCTCCCCGGCCCCGTGCCTGCGGAGCCCCGAGCTCCAGTCGGAACGCGAGCTCACCGCAGACAGCGCGCGCGACAGTCAATGTGCCCATGGGGGCACCCAGCGCGCCATGTCAGGAGCGCAAACTGGTTCTTCTCCAGCACTAAAATAACACTAACACAGACAGTAGGAAAAAGGGCATTTATTTATTAAAGAAAAATCACCTGTGAATTCCTCTACTTGTTAGTACTGACGTTAACACTTTGGGTTGAAACATGCCTTCCTCCAGGGAGCAAGCAGCGCCTACGGGTCGGGTCAAGGAGCGTTTCCAGAGCCCAGAGGGACCCTGTGGGGGAGGCGACCCCTCCCAGAGCAGCCACCGCGTCTGTAAACGCTGTCAGAGGCTGGACGCAGCCGTGCACACTGCCATCACACAAGTCGTCAAGCGCAAGATCAAAGCGTGAGAGGAGCCCGCGCCCTGACGGCCCAGGGCGGGCGCGGACGGCGGGCTCCAGGGAGGCCCCTCCAGCCCCACCCCCTCCCCCGCAGCCCGCGGCACCCAGGGGTCTCCAGGCTCTTCTGCGACTGGCTGGGGCTAGGAAGAGGGCCTGGGCTGGAGCCGCCCCCAGCTCTGGGACGGGCGCTGGGGCAGAACAGCCGGGCGGCCGCGTCGCCTACGTGCGGTTCAGGGTCTGGAAGATCCTGGAGATCTGCAGCATGACTGGCCCGGTCTCCGGGTCGTTCATCCACTGGGTGCTGTTCAGGGGGTTTTCCAGCATGTCTTCAAATGCTGTGGGGAAGACAGAGCGAGGCCGGCTGAGGCAGCTCCTCCGCACTCGCAGCCAGGAACCTGGCAGTCGCTGTCCTAAAAGGGCGAGCCCTGCGTCACCGGGGGCCACGCACGACCCCCTCAACGGCCCCCCAGCAGCGTCTGCTACCACACTCATGAGCCGCAGTCCGAGGACTGCGTCCCCGTCCCGGGCGGGCGGCGGCGGCCTGTGCACCCGCGGGCACACGGATTCTGGAAAGCGATTTGGCAACGGCGTCAGCAATCTTTTAAAAATAGTCACAGCCTATGAGTCAGTAATTCTGCTTCCAATCCCAGCCTGGCAAAATCACCAGACGCGGAAAAGACAGAAAGACACTGCTGCACATGGAACGATATCTGACTGGGAAAATCAACTTTTAGTCTCAAGGAAATGACTTTAAAGAACATAAGCGAGGGGCTCCCAGCCGGCTCAGTCAGTGGAACGGGCGACTCGTGACCTCGGGGTCGTGAGTCCAAGCCCCATGTTTGGTGCGGAGACGACTTAAAAGTAAAATCTTAATAAATAAGTCAATAAGCAAAAAAATAATAAAAATGTAACTGAACAATTCCACAACATAAAATGAATTGTCTAAACAGTTCTATAAAACCGTTTCCAGGGGCGCCTGGGTGGCTCAGTTGGTTGGGCGACTGCCTTCGGCTCAGGTCATGAACCCGGAGTCCCGGGATCGAGTCCCGCATCGGGCTCCCTGCTCAGCGAGGAGCCTGCTTCTCCCTCTGACCCTCCCCCCTCTCATGTACTCTCTCTCATTCTCGCTCTCTCAAATAAATAAATAAATCTTTAAAAAAAAAAAAAAAAAACCGTTTCCCTCAGAAACGGGCATGAGCGGCCCTCGCCCGGCAGCCAGCCCCGAGCCAGCACGGAGCCGCCCCACGCGCGTGGGCCTCAGGGAGCTGCTTCCTCCACGACTTGGCAGCTCTTTGGGGTCACGTGGGACCACGGCTCACCAGAAAAGTGGGATTTCATCGCGTTTAGGATGGACAGCCCTCCCAGCCCTTAAAACAATCACCGGGGTCCCTCCTGATCGAAACCTCTGAAAACCAGGTAAAAATATCAGAGAACCCAGAAGAACACCAGGGTGTCTGGGAGAACGAGAGGTAACGTGGGCGGCGTGGGGGTCCAGTGAGGGAGGGAGCCCACGTCTGGCTTCCTCCCGGGAGGAAAGGGCTGAACAAAACCATGAACCGGGGTGTCGGCGAGAGACCCCACAGAAGGGTGTGTACATGAGGAAGGTCTTCTGCAGGACTTACACTTGACAATCCCAGAAAGACAATTATTCCAAACCAAAAGGCAAACAGAAAGTCTGCACGTGTGACAGAGGGTAGTTGTCAACATGTGAAGAGCTCCGAGCCAGGCTCGAAGGCTGAGGCCACAACTGAAGTGGGCGGCAGATGCTCAAGGCCACACGGGGATGCGAGGCCAGCACACGCAGCGTGGGGGTGCGGGCGGGGGGGACCGTTGCCCCGACCCGGTCATGCTGTCCTCAGGAACACGAGCTGCACCCGAAGCAGGAAGCACAGACGGGGGCGGTCACCGCGGCCGGCCCAAGGCCACGAGGGGAAGAGCGGTTTGAGTGACTAAAAACGGCAACAGCGTGTGCAACCCGAGGCCTCTGCATAGAATCAAAGATCTGTACCCGCTAAACTCCATTTACAACAGCAAGGCCAAGGGGCGCCTGGTGGCTCAGTTGGTTAAGCGTCAGACTCCTGATCTCAGCTCAGGTCGTGAGCTCAGGGTCGTGAGATTGTGCCCTGCATCGGGCTCTATGATCAGCGGGGAGTCTACTCGGGATTCTCTCTCCCTCTGCCCCTTCTCCCGCGTGTACACACGGTCCGTTTGTGTGTGTGTCTCTCTCTAAAATGAATAAATCTTTAAAAAAAAAAAAAATTAAAGGGTGAGGCCAGAAGATGCAGCACAGGGATGCGCCGGCAGGACGCGGAGTAAACTAGGACAGCACACAGGCCCGCAGATGCTCCAGAAGGAAACCCGCCGACCGGGGGTGGGGGCAAAGGAGACTTCCGCTGGCTTCTGCGTCCTCTCTCGCTATGAGCTATGAGCCAGATGAGCTATGGTGGGCGCTTTATCTCATCTCAAGTGATACCGGTTACCCTAAACACTTATCAGAAAGGTGCACCCCGTGTGGCGTGGGGGCCTGGCGGCCGTGGGAGGCCCTCCCGGGGACAGGCGGAGCGCCCGGGCATGAAAGCCGCGGCCCCTCCCATGCTGGGCAGCACCAGGGCCCCCAGCGCCATCCGCAGGCCACAGCCCCGCCAGGCGCCAGCCGGGGGACACCGGCTCTGCCTGCCTTGTTTCGGAAATGTGAGGAAAGGCTCCCCGTGAGCAAACGTGACACCACAGGACCCTCCCAGCAGATGGGGAAGACATTCAGTAAAACCCCACGTCCGTCGTGATGGAAGCCCCTCTTGGAGAAAAGACAAAACCAGCCTAGAGCAGAGGGCTGCGGACCGACCCAAGGCAGCGCGTTCCTTCCTCCGGTCAGGCCTGCAGGCAGCAGGGGAGCCCGGGTTCCGAGCGAGGGGCCCGCGCGTCCCGCACAGGGAAGGAAAATACGTACATACGCGCCCCCGAAGGCCAGAACTTGGGGACCAAGAGAAAAGCTCCCTACTCTGCACTGCACACGCTCCCGGGTAGGTTACAGACTCAGATGAGAAAAGCAAAACTGACAAGACTCCTAGAAACAAATAAAGGAGAACATCTTCCTCGCCTCGAGCTCAGAGGGTTTTCTCAAATGAAACACATACACTTTCAATACGTTAAAATACATCACAGTCAGTCAGCAAAAACGCCAGCAATGGGAAAACGATTTTCAAGATACAAATAGACTAATAAAAGATCAGCGTCCAGCACATGTGAGGAAATTGTGACTGAATGAGAAAAATGATGCAAGAAAAAGAAGCCAAAAGATGGGCCTTTCAGAGCTGAGGTCCCAGCATGGCCGAAGCTTCTGGGAGGGGCTGGGCCTCACAGCTGCGGCGAGGGCCAAGTTCGCAGACACCTGTGCCCGCCGGGGCGGCAGCTGCTCTCGGCAGGCATCCTGGGGGCCACGGGGGCGGAGCACACGGGCAGCCGGATGCATCCCCGCCGCCCCACCTGCACACGCCCGGCCCACAGGCAAGGCCGGGGAAGGCAGACTGCCCAAAGCAGCGCCGCACACAAGGCAGCAACGCGAGTCCCACCAGATGGCAGAGCGGGGACATGGCCGTGGCACAGTCACACTGGACGCAGAAGCCCGCCCAGGACCCACCCTGCCCACGGGCGCAGGCACGAGGGGACGGGGGCTCCGGGTGACAGACACAGGCAGCACCACCCTGAGGAGCCTGAGCGACAATGAAGGCTCGCTCCCAGGGCTGGAGGGGGACAGCGGTGCAGCAGGGGACGCGGGACTTGATCCCAGGACCGTGGGATCATGACCTGAGCCGAAGGCAGACGCTTAAACCAACGAGCCCCCCGGACGCCCCCTTAACACCGTCTTCTGAAGCTGAACGTAGATGTGTGGCTATCAGTCTTACCGTTATTCTTTAAGTTAGAAAAATCACACACGCTTCTGTCCATGTGTTGTGCTTCACAGACAAAACGGGGGCCAAAGAAGTCCTCCACAACAAGAAGAGCAAAGGCAAACACCCGCCCACGCTCCCCCAATCCAGACGGGCCACTCTAACTGGTTCCGGAGCTCGTCTGGAGCCGTCACACAGGAGGCCGTCACCCCGTGAGCACAGCCTGCCTGCCAGCCCCATGGTGACTCAGGCAGGAGTCACGGACAGTGGTGGACACATCGCCATCACTCAGTGACGTCTGTGGGGTGTGGTGGGTCTGCCCCTGGGGAAGCCCACGTACCTAGTAACGTTTTCGGGTTGGTCAGGCCCAGCTGCACCACCGGGTTATCCAGAATGGCTTGGAAGAGAGGGCTGTCGGGGTCGATGCCCTTGTCCAGCTCCTCGGGGGATGGCTTCCGGTCTCCCAGCAGCCACTCGCACTGCAAACGCAAGAGCCACACCCGTGAGTCCCTCCGGAGCCCCCACCAGCACCAGCTGCCCCCCGGGCTGCTCCCAGGGTGGGGCCCAGGCCCAGGGGCTCGGACATCGGGAAGGAAGAGCCACGCTGATCCCCGCACCGCAGTTCAGGCAAACGGCTGTGACTTCTCGGTCCTCGGCCACTGAACAGGGGTGAGGCAGGACCCACCCACAGTACTGGGAGGAGAGTGAAGAAATGCACAGAACCCCAGGCTGCGTCCCCGGGAAGTCCCGTGGGCACGGCTGCTGGTGAGCCTGGAGCCAGCTGATTCGCAGTTGTTGGTTCAACAAACTTAGTAAACAAATCACACTCTCGCCCACAGAACATGTACTTTCTTAGACAGACAAAGAACTCGTAAAACATTTTATACCATCGGACCACCTCCCCTCTCGCTTCTCTTGGAAAGCCAACAACAGAGCGCCTGAGGAAGGAGCCGGACACACAGACTGTCCTGGGCGCATCCTGCTGGCGAGGGGAGGGAAGCCTCCCGGCGTACGGACACGGGGTACTCACGGCGGCGTTCTGCTGGTTGTTGTTCACTCTGAGGGCATCTATCACTTCCTTCTCGTCGAAGCCCATCTCCATCAGGGAAATGACGGCCTGCAGGAGAACGCACACCACTCAGTGCCCGGGGCTAGGACGCGCAGCACGCCTCGGGGGCCAGGCGACAGTGTCCGCGAACTCGGGCCACGTGTCAGCACGGCGTCCTAGTGGGGGCCTGACGAGATCAGCACAGGGCGTCCTGGGGCCCAATTCTGCTTCCCTGCAGCTTCACGGAATCAGTCCGTCCTTCTGAGCAACAGACGGACCACAGCCAGGCCGAGTCGGCGCAGCCGCGGATCCCAGCATGCCACAGGCAGGCCCCGCCAACGTCAGACCCTCGTAGGTTGGTCCCCACATTTGGACAGAATGGTCTCCACAACCACACATGAGCTCGTTGCGGACAGACGGCCTCGTTACCCACAATGACAGGTATTAGGGAGACGCCTTGTAAGCAAACCCGATTTAAGACTAAAGTGGTCACATTAATATCAATTTGTGAAGAAAAAAGGGGGGGGGGCTCTTCAGATTTTATCTTTAAAACATGACACTAAAATTAATTTTAAACATCTCACATGTAATAAGATTTAAGCTATAAGTATGAACATTTGATGATTCTCGGAGGGAACAATGACCCAACGTTCAATGTTTTAGGGGGTGGGGGAGACGTCCATTTTCAGGACAAAAATCACGTAAGACACTAAATCCTTCACTTTACTCTTGACTTTTTTTTAATATTGTTTATTATTAATTTGAAAGAGAACGCATACATACGAGTCGGGGGAGGGGCAGAGGGAGAAGCAGGCTTCCTGCCGAGCAGGGAGCCCGATGCGGGACTGATCCCAGGACCCCGGGATCATGACCTGAGCCGAAGGCAGACACCTAACTGACTGAGCCACCCAGGAGCCCCTATTCTTGACTTTTACACGATTTTTAAGAGTCCATTTTGAGAAAAAAAGGTAAAGATTTTGTTAATTCTTTAAAGATCCAATCACACTTTTGAATGAGGTCCCTGTCTTCTCCTTTGACCTTCCCGCCTTAACTGCCCTACTTCCGCGGGGCTCCTGGGCGTCAGCGCGGGGCAGCAACCCGCAGCACCCTGGCACACTCTTCGGCCACAGAGTGCCACACCTCAGCGGGCCGGGCTCAGCCTGAACTGGACTGTCAGGTGTCCCAAAGAGCACCCGACAGGAAGGAAGTCAGGGGCAGGTGGCAGTCAGGACAGACTTTCACCAGAGCCAGATGGTGGACAGGGAGCTCAAGAGGCAGCCCTTCCTACCACAACCCACGCTGTGTGCTTTCCTGAACCAGCTCGTACCCCCAGGGGTGGGGGGCTCCACCCACGAATGCCGGGAGAAGGACCCACCATGCCACAGTCTGACACCCAAGTCACATAAAATCGCCTGGAAGCTCCCACTAAATCTAAGGCTAGGGTAGCCTCCCCATGACTGTCAGTAAAAACGAGCCTCTCCCGTCACTCCCTCCTACCTCAGCCTGGGGAAGCGACGACCTAGGACTTCCGCACGGTGACCGCAGGCATGTGCCCCCGCCTTCCTGCCAGGGGTCCACGCACTCACTCCTGCCCTGCCCACCGCACCCTGCTGTCCCCCACCACTGGCATGGGGCGTGTGGGGGGAGGGGAATGACAGCAGAAAGTCTGTTTTTGGTCTCAAGTGCAAGCCCTGCTCTCGGACCCAGGCTTCCCAGGAACCACGCAAACACTCCTGTCCTTACGGGCTCTTCTCTGGAATGCTGTAGGACCAAAGGGCGGGGGACTGTGGCGAGCTGGCCCAGCATCGACAGCCTTCTATAACAACGTTCAGAGACCCTCTCCCACAAAGAGGCCACAGGAAGGCCCCGCACAGGTGCCCATCTTGGGAGAAGAGCGCATCGAGACAGCTGAGGTGGCACCCACGAGACAGGGCTGAGCAGTGGCAGGCCTGACGAGGACAACGCGGGAGCACCCTCAGGGGAAGCCCGGAGCCGCGCGGCAGAGCACAAAGCACCGTCCGAGGGCGCGGCCCCCGTCCGAGGCCCAGCACACAGACCGGGCTCTAGAAACACCAGCTCCAGCTCTGCAGAAACGCTTCCAGATGCACAGCTGAGCTCACCAGAAAGCAAAGACCAGCAGCAAGCTAGCCTGACAAAGGCCGTGCCCTGGGAACGGGCCGGAGCCATCAGCAGGGCCTGGGGGCAGGGGTCTGGTGGCCAAACCCAGACAGGATGTGGGCCTTGGGTCCCTACGAGGTGAGGACTTGGAGCTTGAGACCAGGACCCTGCCAAGGGTCTGCCCCACAAAAGGAAAGGGGAGGTGGAAAAGCAGGGGCCCCTGGGCAGGGAAGCGTCAACCCCAGAGCCACGGCCTATACCACATGGGGGCCCAGGAGCCCTGCCTGTGCGCCTAACATGAAACCGGGCCCCCGGCGGGGGGTGTCACTCAGCCCAGGGTAACAGCCTCACAATCACCCACGGGGGGCATCCCACAACCCAGCCACACGGGGTTCCCACGGAAACCCACGCCCGCAGGGGAGCCCACTCTGACAACACCACACCCCGGGCAGAATCACGAGAGTGTGTGGACTCGGGGCCCTAACACCTGGAGCTCATGCATCTGTAATCTGAAAGAAAAACGCAGGCTTAAAGCACAGAAAACGTCCAAGAGGAAACCAGAAGCCTAGTAAAAGAACAGAACGGTGGAGAACAGGGAGCCACAGAAGCATCAAGAACAAGACGACGACAAAGCAACAGCCATAAACGGTACGCCGACATCAGCCACCGGAACATGGCCAGAGCCGGCCGGGCCCCCGGTCCTAGGAGCCTGCAGACGCCAGGGTTACCAGATCGTCAGAGCCGGCCCAGCCTCCCCGTCCACAGGCAATCCTGCAGCGCACCATCCTCCCATCCTGGGCAGGGGCCCTGCCAGAGCCCGTGGCTCTTGCCAACAGTGACAACGTGGACAGGATCCTGTTGTCGCTTTCAGATGACAAACGTGTCGGCCAATTATTCGGAGGACAAACAGCCACCTGGATCTGTGGGAGGGCAACTTAAAACTGAATTTAGGCCTGTCTATAAGCCCCTCACCCAGCTTTACTCCCACGTGGAGAAACGGCAACCCCGCCTGGCTGCCCCCGGGCCCAGGAACACATACCCGAGCGTCAGCCCGAAACTCCCTTTTCCTCCGGATCTTCTTGAAGATCTCCGTGAGCTCATCTCTGGGCTCCTCATCTCCCGTGCTAGTCCCAGCAGCCTCAGGGGCAACCTCAGGGGCGGCCTCGGCCTGCGCCCCTTCTGGTGAGGCCTGGCCCGGAAGAGGCGTGTCAATGGTCGGGTCTTCCGCATGCTCGATTAACCACTCCATGGCCTGAGGTACCGACATGCTGAAAGGCAACAGGGGACTCTTTCCAGCACCCCCAGGCCGGTCCCAGGGCCTCCAGCCTCCTTGACATCCCCAGGGAAAGCCTCTCTGGTGACCCTCGTCGGGAGAATCTCAGCACCGAAGGGTGTGGCGCTCTGGGCCCTGCCCCACACAACCCCAAGACCCCAGCCAGAGCACAGAAACCCAAGTACTGAGCCTGGGGAGCAAACTGGTGAGGTACACTCGAGAATCTAGGTCCACGGCAGAAAGAAGCACAGCCCACGGACTGTCCTCTGATGTACAAGTCATCTGCTTCGGGTCCATGTGTAGACGCAGAAGCGAGTGGCTGCGGCCAGGCAAGCACGGGAGGCTGCTGGAGGGCACACTGCACGCACCTCCAGCCGCCATGTCCCTGACACACACAGGCTCTGATGTGGTGCTTGCACACAATGGCCCCGGGAGGACCCGGAAGGACAGACTGCCCACGGCACGTTCCCAGCAAGGGCCACTGTCTTAAGACACTTCGAGATGCCCCACCAAGTTACCTCTGGGACGCCATTTAAGGTCTCTCTTTAAAAGCTCACATCTACTCTAAGTGGTTCAATCTAAGAGTTTAGGACGGAGGACATCACCCCGGGGGAGCCCCACAGCATCGCAGCAAGGGGAGGAAATGGCCTGGACATACTGGTTCAGCCGAAGGGCCTTCGCGGCCCTGCTCTCCGGGAAGCCCATCTCCGTGAGCTGCCGCAGGGCAGCCTCGTCCACTCTCTCATCCTCCTCCTCGTCCAGCATCGCTGCAGGCGAGAGATGGGGCCACCTGTGAGGGCCAGGCTACTGCGAGGACTGCCCCCCACCCCAGAGCCTCAGGGCCCCACCTGCATGCCAAACCCCCTAAATCTCAGCAAATCAACAAGGAACCTTCAGCCAACAGGCTGAACAGGAGCCCCACATCAACAGAAAGTACGAACGTAAAGCATTCTCAGTCTCCCCAGTACTGACGCGGGGACCACGAGTGTGAACGGGGACCGCAGGGGGCGGACACAGCCTCTGAGGCGGGGCACACAGCAGGGTCTGAACGCAGGATCCAGTCAACCTGGGGCATGCTCATACCATTCGCCTTCTTAAACAGTTCAACTGCATCCGGGTTCAGCGCTAACAACTTTTGTGCCACCTCGATGAGAGACACCAGGATTTTCCGGAGTTCTGTCTGGAACTGCAGGGACAGAAAGAAGGCTCTTACTTCTCCAAGTGCCCAAGAGACCTGCCTGGATGTGTAACCACACTCCTGGGCCCTACAACTCTGTATCTTTGAGCCCAACTATATGCCGCTATTGGTTCCGGAATGTGGAGACCAATGGAGGAAGAGGTGGGTGGGGCCACAGAGCGGCAGGAGGGCTCAGCCCGGCGGGGAGGAGAGGCCTGGCTGGCATAGATGGGCTGTGTGCATGGCTTCTTGGCTGGCGACACCAGAAACATCTGGAAACATTGCTCAGCCCTTTGGCCAACGCAGAAAGCGCCAGCCCACTACGTAAGCAGAAGAGATCAGCCTGACTGATGGGCCTCCCAGACCCGGGCCTCCGATTCTCCCCTGGCCAGAGGCTGGCCGGCACAGCAGCATCGGCTGCAGCCAACTGGCCCCCACTGAGGAAGAAGGCCGCTGGGAATGCAGTCAGAAACCCCGACAGACCAGTCCCCAGTCCCACGGGCGAGAAAGGGGTCAGCCGCCCCTCTTCCCCACAACAGGCTTCAGAACGTGAGAGCCACCGTGGGGCCATCCCACACACAGCCTGGGGACGTGTGTCAGAGCCCGATGCCCTGGTCAGTAGGGAACTCTCTGCTGCTACATGAGCAGGTGGCACTCTCGGATTAGGTGGCCACGCTGTCCCAGTCCTCTACAGCACAGGCTCACCCCTGGTTCTGGGCCGGTCCACGGGACACTGGACACGCTCTACGTTTTTAGCTTAGAACTTTCCAATCCAAAGTAAGAGTCCAGACTTCTAGCTACAAGTTTTTGCCAAACTTAGCGCAAAACTCTAATATACTCCCAGTAGGATCTATCTTTTCAGTCCTGCCTTCCAATGTCTTTTTAAACTTTATGTTTTGAAATAATTTTAGGTTATACGCAGAGTTCCTGTCTGCCCTTCACCCCGGCTTCCCAAAGTACCGCCAAGAGGCCATGTGGCCCTCACGCGGGTGTGAGGAGCCCGAGGTGCGGCCCACAGCGAGCACTCACGTCTCTGACGTTGGTCTGAACCTCGGCCCGGTCCATGTTGTGGGACGGCAAGTTGGCAGTTGCTCGGAAGATAGCATCTCTATCTGGGGCTTTCTGGTCTTGTTTTTTCTACACAGAAAATTAGAAAGTCAGAAATGAATATGAGAGCAGTAAAAGGCAAGACCACGTAAGCTGAGCACACAGAGCTTGACTAGGGAGGGAATCACTCTCCGTCGGCAGCAGAGGGTCCCTGCGGGTTCGGTGCTCACTTGGGACACAATTCCTGCCTGTCATGGCCAGAGGGTGGCAGGGCAGGAGAGCAGACAGACACGGTCCCTTGTGGCCACAGAGAGACCGTCACACGTGAGCTGTGGCTGTGCCGGGGCCAGGAACGCGCACTCACCCCGCCTGCTTCCGAAGCCCTGCTACAACAGCACGACCCTATCAGACGGTAAAGACTCCCGAGACAGAGAGCGGGAGAGATGGAGACCATTCTTCCAAAACAGAAAACAGAAAGGGGGTCAGCACAGAGCAGAAGCCTGACAAGAAACAAGGCCCGGCAACTCCAGGCCAATGCCAGAGCCCAAAGGAAGCGCAGGTTGGGAGTGAGCAGCTGGAGCCGAGAACAGCGCTCCCCTACCACCCTGCTCAGCCAGCAACCACCTGGGGGGGGCAGACTTGAGAAGCCCCCGAGCCAGGGAGCCTGGGCTCAGCAGCAGGAAAAGGAGGTACCATGCTAATCCTTGACAGTAAGACCCAGCCCCCCATCACTAGTGGCTGTAAGGACACTGAGCAAGAGACTCACCGCTGTGGGGAGGGGGCGCACAGGGCTGGGTCTGCCCCACAGGGAAGCCCATCGAGCTGCAGGCACACCCCACTGGGCACAGAGAGCAGCCGGTGAGCCCCCCGTGCCTCTTACTGAGAAGGCAGCTAAGGAGGGGCAGGGGCGTGTGGAAAGCCCCCAACACGAAAGAAAGAGACCAAAATGAGAAGGGGAAAAGTAAAGAAGCATGAAAGAGAGAACAAAAGGAAGAGGACTTCATGCCAGAGAACCGTCGGACAGGACACTGTCATCAGCGGAGACCAAGTCCCCACTGGGAAATGTAAACTATCACGGCCAGATCAACAGGCCGTAGCACAGTTAGAGGATAATGTCCAGGAAATCATCCTGAAGGCAAGTCCAGCATCCAACCAACAGGAACTCCAGAAAGAGGGAAAAGAAAACAAGAGGAGGGCATTCTCCAAAAACAATCCAGAAAAACTTCAAAACAAAAACACATGAATCTCCAGACTCTGCATGCCAAGCACAGCAGAGGCGGAAGACCTGCATCCATGCAAACCATGAAATCTAAGAGCTCTCAACAGCCTCCCCAGATGTTGAGAGACCCCGGAGGGAGTGGGAGAAGAGGGAGCAGAGCATGCACAGAAGACGAGTCCTCAGTCCCACGGCCCCATGGACACCCTGGAAGCAGGGACCAACATTTTCATTGTGCACGCACATGGCTGGCGCTCACCAACAGCCACTCGATGCTGAAGTGCAGGGCCTCAAGATTCCCTTCCCTTTCTAGATGCCAGAGGAAGCCAGGCTCCACCAGACCAAGAGACAAGTCAACTGCAAGACACTGGATTCTGCTGGCAGAATTTGAAGATGGCCCTAAGATCCCACTCCTGGCCATCATGCCTGCACAATCCCAGAGCCTGTGAGCAGGATGGTTGCGCCCTGGGTAAGGTCATGCTGTGGCAGAGCCAATTTTAAGGAAAGGATATGACCTGCCTTGGGAGGCCTTATCTAATCAGGCAGGCCCTGAAAAAGGAGGGGGCTCTTTCTGTCACTGGCTCCAGAGATGCAGGGGACCACATGGCAAGGAAGAGTGGCAGGCCCCACGTGCCAAAAGAAAGCGCCCCGGCTGACAGAGAAAGGAAAGGGGACCTCGGCCCTTCAGCCATAGGAACTGCCAACCACCTGAAGGGGCCCGAAGCAGACCCTTCCCCAGAGCTTCCCTGGAGGAATGCAGACCAGCCACACCTTGACTGGAACCCAAGAGCCTGAGTGCAGGGCCCAGCTGAGCCTGCCCAGACTGCTGACCTACAGACCAGGAGCTGTGTGCAGTTTTAGGCTGATGCGTCCATGGCACCGCGACAGGTGGCAACAGGAAGTGTCCAGATACACAAGACACAAGGTTCAGAAGCTCTAACACAGGGGTGAGGCAGGAAGGCCCAGGCTGCACGACAGGCCTGGAGGCCACTGAGGAAGAGGGGTGTCGCGGGGAGGAGCTGGAGGGACGATGTCTCCAGGACAGCAAGGACTGGCAGATGGTCTCGTACAGGGGACCCTGCTTCCAGAGGGATTTATCGATCCCAGCAAAGAATTTCAAAAAATTAGCGATAATCCTATAGAAAACAAGTTGACAAGGTACTTATTGATTCCAGGAGAAACATGAAAAAGGAGAAATAATCTCAGGACCCTTCGCTCCAAACGGACAACAGCACGTGCACATTAACACTGATGGAAACCCTGAGATCTTCAACCAGTGTCAGGATCTAACACTCCAGACATCAAGGAGCCAAAGAATCAAAAACTGGTATTCTAAGAAATAACCAATTCTGGGATGCCTGGGTGGCTCAGTTGTTAAGCGTCTGCCTTCGGCTCGGGTCATGATCCCAGGGTCCTGGGATCAAGCCCCGCATCGGGCTCCCTGCTCAGCGGGGAGTCTGCTTCTCCCTCTCCTTCTGCCTGCCGCTCCCCCTGCTCGTGCTCTCTCTCTCTGTCAAAAATAAATAAAAAATCTTTAAAAAAGAAAGAAAGAAAGAAAAAAAGAACCAATTCTGCATGTGGTTTTGAAATCAGAAAAAGAATTACTGAAGGAATGGCTGAAAGAGCTCCAAGAGGGCACCTTTAGGGCACGTGACGCAGGTGGGAGGAGGCTGCTTTTATTAAGAGACTGGTAATGTTATTTGACTTCATAAATGTGTACTATTTTCACCTAAAATTAATACTAACTCACAAAAACAGGCACTAACGTCTTACAATGTTTCATTTTGCAACTAAGTGCACAGAAAAGGTGACCTGCCAAGTGAGGTCCACAGTGTGCTGTGAGGCGCCCAGAGGTGCCGGGGCGGTGGGAACCCCGTTGTCTACACTGGTCACCCACAGCCAACACTATAACCTGAGAACTGCGGTTCGCGCGGGCAGCTCTCGGGGTGGGGCAGAGCAGGCCCCGATCTGTCTCCTGGAGATGGGGTGAGCAGCCGGCCCGTGTGCGAGCCAGCACTGGCCAGGTGTGGCCACAGATAAGGGGGCATGCGAAGCCAAAGGCGCCCCTCCTATGCCGCCTGACCCACAGGAGGGCCTCAGATAGCTCTGTTCCCTGACAGCTCGTTCCGCTGGCAGGCATGGGGCCCAGCCCGAGGAGTCTGGCCCGCTTTCTCCGGGGGGAGCACTCTCCCTAGCATTTCAAAGCATGAATAAGAAACTCTACCCGAGCGAAACAAAGGAAAACTGTGAAATCAGTGTGGCTGCCTTTTAAGATGGCACCGCTTTGCACCTGGGCGCAGGTGTTAGGGGACCCTGGCCTTTCACTGCGCACGCGCCTGCACTCCCGGGAGAGGGGCCCTAGTGCGCCGCTCACCACCCCTTCCCTGCGTTCCTTCTCCTTGTCCTGTGGGTGCAGACAAGAGGCAGGCCTGACAGGGTCTCAGGAGTTACCCTCACCTCGAGAAGGTGCCGGACGCGCAGCCCAGAGAACACAGCGTGGAGGCTTTTCCCTGCGTGCCTGCCCCTGACCAGGAGGGGCTCGGCCACAACAGGAGGCCCCCGTGATTGTTGACTGTGGGCCCTGCTGGGTCTGGGAACACCTCGTACCCAGGAGGTTTCTTTCTCACGGGCTGGAGGGTGGGAGACTCTAACCAAGACTTCCGGTTCCAAACTCTGAAACTGACCTTTTCTTCGGCCGAGACGTCAGCCATCTTAGGAAGTGGAGTGGGAGCACGCTTCTTTATCAACAGTAAGACATCTAGGAAAAAAAGACGTCTGTCAAGCTGGTTACCGTTTTCCTCCATAAGATGGCAATATGGGCACAAGAGAGGGGCGCCTGGGGGTCTCAGTCGGTGAAGCGTCTGCCTTCGGCTCAGGTCATGATCCCACATCGGGCTCCCTCCTCCACGGGGCGCCTGCTTCTCCCTCTCCCACTCCCCACCCCATTCTCTCTCTCTCTCAAATAAATAAAATCATTTAAAAAAAAAAAAAATGGGCGCGAGAGGACCCAAGGCCAGACGAGCAGGGGCTCCCCCCGGGTGCTGCCTAAGCCAAGCCCGTGCTTCCCTGCCTTCCTGCCCACATACAGCTTCCAGAGCGTGGCAAGAACCCAGCCATGGGTCACACAGTGACTGGTGGCCCAGGAGGCACACACAGCACAGCCCTGAGAACCATGCAAAGAACCGGTGGGAATCTTGCAAAACGTCCTCATTTCAATGGGCTCAGTTTTCTGAGGTTGGAGAGCTGGCCTCAATCCTCAGAGCTAAACTGAGGCCGCGTGCGCAAGGTCGGCCGGCTCCCACCTGGTTGTGGGCTTGACCTCCACGCTCAATGAAGGTCTATAAACAGTACTTTCAAAAGAGATTATTTAAGAGAATCCCAGAATTAAAATCATCCTTTGAATGACAAATAGAAAACCAAAGATTTCTCCCCAAAAGCCTCCAGACACAAACTCTAAGCAACTAAACAGATGTGCACAGAATAAGAGTATCTTCCTAGGACATTTGAAACAATAACCATAATTGTACTTTCCAGCCCCAGAATAAAGCCTGCAGCAGCTCTGGAGGCCTTGGTCTTGCTCTGACACAGAATTAAAAATAAAGTTCACATCTGGTTTCTCAGATGGATGCTGCTTGTCCAATTTCGGTTTGTGCTGTTTTTCACAAACAGCCCATAATGCACACTTTGTTTTAACAAAGGAAGAATAAAACCATTTTAGCTGACCCAGTTTCCCTGCTCGGCCCCAGCCTGGAGCACAGACTCGGACGCCGAGGGCGCCTTCGCCTCTCGCTCCCCGGCTCCCAGCGGCGCCATGGCTCCCACCGCTGCCCTGTGAGCCCCCTACCTTGGTCTTGGATGTTCTCTTCCAAGATTGTTTTGGCATCACTCAGCACCCTCTCCGAAGCAGCGTGGATCAATTTGTGGTGGGTCACACTTTTGGGGTCTTCTAAGCTCCCCTGGGCACACTGGGGGGGACAAAGTCATATATTTCAAGACAAAATAAATCATAACTCTAATGATATTAGAACCTGACACCCCAAGCCACACCAGGCATTTACTGGTTACTAGCTAGAAAATTAAGGCACAGATGAAGTCAAAGAACTCCCATGAATGTTGGAAGCTGAACAAAATGCCACAACATCTGATCCCCTAGGGCAGCGATCTGTCCACCAACCCACTAAGTACTCCTGAAATAGGTTCACAGCCTGACCTAAAATACCCTGCTGGTAATTAGTGGCAACCTGAATCGCTTCCTTCGTCTGGAAAGATCTGGAGAGTCATTTTAAAACGAAAATAGCAGGTCCACTGTTCCCTGAAAACCTAAAGATCGAAGTATGATTTGTGCACTTCTTCTCTCTTCCAGATACATGAAGGGGCTGAGAGACAGCCAAGAGAGAAGCTAGTCCACAGAGAGCCAGAAACAGGGGCCTGACCACTTCAACGCCTGCACAAGTCCGAGAGGAGAGCAACCGGCCTTTGCTCGGCCCTTGGCTCACCAAGCGACCACCACCCAGACCCAGGAGCTGCAGGAGCCGCTGGCAGGGCCCCTCCTGGGCGTTCAAAGGGGGTGGACCGGCACGCAGTTACAGCTCACTGGCCAGGGCCCCAGAATCCCCAGAACGTGACACCAGGGTGGGGGGCACTGACGTCCAGGCCATAGGGGGTTGCAACGAGACCTGTGGCGTGAAGGCTTCGGGGGGCTGTCACACATTCACGTAAACTGGCAGGGCCGAAGGGGGCGCAGGTGGAACCCAGCCCACAGGAGGATACATTCCTACCACTTAGGGCAGCAGACACGACCCCCCGAGTGTCGCCTTGAATTCGAAACTGGCTCTGCTCCCAGAAATATGGGGTGTGCTTCTGCTAATTCTGAAATTTGCAGGCTAGTGGATTTGACAAGTTCAGAATACGGTCTATGAAACACAATTTTCCAAAACAATCCTCATCTGGCTCTTGAAACAACCGTCCTGTGCAGAATGCCAACAGCGTGCCAGGAACACAACACAGGCGTGAGTCATCCGCACTGTGCGCAGTTACTTCATTCTGGGTCTTTGTTCTCAGCAGAAGCACTTTGAGCAAGCGGAGTATGGCAGCAAAATAGCCCCGGAAAAGCCCACTGCCCGGGCAGGGAGGCTGTGACACCTGCTGAACCTGCCTCCTCCCCAGAATAGCCAACAGGGGCTCCTCCTACACCTGATGCCCTATGTCGTCCGAAGACGCACTGTCATGTGATCTAAGAAACGTGAACAGCTTGCGGCGCCTGGGTGGCTCAGTCGTTAAGCCTCTGCCTTTGGCTCAGGTCACGAGCCTGGAGTCCTGGGACCGAATCCCACGTGGGGCTCCCTGCTCAGAGGGGAGTCTGCTTCTCCCTCTCTGTCTGCCCCTCCCCCCTGCCCGTGTGCTTGCTCTCTCTTTCTCAAATAAATAAAATCTTAAAAAAAAAAAAAAAAGAAAGAAACTTTAACAGCCGTATGAACAGGTACAGGTTATGTCGTGGCAATTTCACGAAAGATCCCAATCAATATAAAAACCCCAAAAGAGAAAAGCAAGTGTGGCAATCCATCTCCCTAAGAGTTCTGATGATAATACCCCTCAATGAGAAAGCAACACACTCCCAGCAGGACCATGGGGGTGAAGTGGAGGGGGTGGGGAGACACCCACAGTGTCCCCTTCAAGGAGGAAGGAAAACATGATGCCAGCTTGCACCCAGGGGCAAAGTGGGAAGGCGGGACAGAAGCTCAAGCACACACGAAGCCTCACTGCCTGCAGCAACAGGACATTCAGGGAACGATTTCCAGGGTGACATTCGAGTACACAACTCGAGAATTCTCTTTTCTAACTAATGCGTTCTGGCTGGCTCGAGAGGCGGCGCACCCTGCCTACAGAACAGGACGGGCACCGAGGTGGGAATACTTTCTGACAACTCAGCTCTCGGGTCCCCCGATTTACGCCGCTCCTCCACACCTGGAGAGACTGCAGAGTGGAATAAAATCTCGACTTAAGGTAGGAGAGTGCCAGAAAAGTCCCAAACGACACACCTCAATCCCGACTGGAATAGTAAATACCAGGTCCATGATAATTAGCATCTTATTCAAATTGGCTGCCTAATGAACCCCCAGAGCTCCTGAAATTCATTAGCAAGCACCTGTGGATCAAACAGTTCTCATTTCCTGTTCCCCTTCGTAAAATAACATCATGACAGCTGTGTAAATCAGTGAGTTAAGCGAAATGCCACTCCCATTTACCCCTGACTTCTCCCTGCCTGACTCAGCGGGTGGCATGCCAAGTCCATGCAGTTCTGGACCGACAACCCATCTCCACGTATTCCAGTGATCCACACGTTTGTTTGGCCCTGGACACGTGAATACAGGCCCAGCCCCGAGGAGCTCCTGTCCTGGGTGGGTTTCAGGGCAGAGGGACGCGCACCTGAGGGAGGGTTTTGTTAAAAGGACACCGCTAGACAAACAGCGGTGCCTGGCTCTAACAGCCTGCTGGCTAACGGCCGGGTCCTGGGGTCTCCTAGGTGGTGACAGGCCCCGACAGAAGAAAGGACTGCGCGCCGGCCGGCGGGTGTGAGCCTGGCGCCCCTCCTCCTCGATGTGAGTTACCGACACCCAGCACGTCCCAGAAGAGGGCTCAGTCCGGCAACCAGAGGGCTCTTCAGCCGCCCTGGACGGCAGAGCACCAGCCGCAGAACCACGACCCCAAGCGACTCGGAAGGACCCCCGGGCAGGTACAACCGCCCGACAGCCCGGAGTCCATCGGCAGGGACGCAGGTCATTCGCCACGTGGACTCCGCACCGAAGGCTGAGCTGCGTTGTGACAAGAAAACACTCAGGGTGCCCAGCGGAGTTTCCGTCGCAGCCCGAGTCGCGCAGGCGTCCCCGCCGCCCCCGGGGACAAGTACGGAGATAAGGCCATCCAGAACCAGCTCCAAAGCGAGCAACCCAGGCAGCTAAGCACACGGGGATGTCCCGCGCCAGCGATGCACAGAAGGTGGCTCTCCGGCGAGGGGCCCCCGCCCCGGCCCCGCGCACGAGTCGGCGGAGAGGCCGCGGGAAGCGGGGCCCCGCCACCAGTCAGGCCCGCGCGTTGGGCGGCGGCGCGGCCGGCCTGCGGGGAACGGACGGCCCGTCCTCGGCGGGCCCCCTCCCCTGGGCGCCGCTCGCCGGCCCCCGAGAGCCTCGCCCGAGAGCACGCAGGCACAGCCGCCGGGAGGGCCCGCGGCGCGCGGCGGCCTCGCGGCCCCGCCTCGGTCTCCCCGCCCGCCCCTGGGAGCAGCACGCGGGCCCGCAGCCGCCCGGCGCCCGGCGCCCGGCGCGCGGCGGCCAAGGGCGAGGCCTTACGTGCTCGAGGCAGCGCTCCTTGAGCTGCTCCACCGACGTGTCCTCCGTCGCCTCCTCCAGCCACTCGGCGCCGTCGGAAGCGCAGATGTGCAGCCGCAGCGCCCTGCCCGCGAAGATCTTCTCCTCCTGCACGAACATCGCGCCGCCGCCGCCGCCGCCGCCGCCGCCCGGGCCGTGAAGGTCACCGGGGCGGGGCCGGGCCGCCCGCGCGCCCTCCCGCTGGGCGCCGCCGCCCCGCCCCGGCTGCCCTCGGCGGGCCGCCCGCCACTCGCCGCGGGCCGAGCGGCCGCCTCGCTCCCGCCGCCGGGCCGCCGGGGGCGCGCTGTCTCCGCCGCGACGGAAGCGCGTCGCGGCGCGCGCCCGGAGCACGCCGGGAGGTGTGGTTCCCCAGCGGCCGCCGCGCCGGAAGGGCGTCCGGGGGCGCCCGATGCATGCCGGGAGCTGTAGTTCCCTTGCGGCTCCATCCGGGCCGCTTCTGCCCGCGCTTTGCCGCCGCGGCCCCCGGCGCGCGGGACCGTTGAGTTTGGTGGTCCGTTCTTAGGTGGGCTCTGAGTGTAAAATACACGACAGATCTCCAAGACTTCGCGGGGCAAAGCGATGAGAATTACTCAATGTTGTCTTTATATTGATTGCATCTTTTTAAGAAAGGATTTTATTTATTTGACAGAGAGAGAGGCCGCGCGAGCAGGGGGAGCAGCAGGCAGACGAGAGGGAGAAGCAGGCTCCCCGCCGAGCAGGGAGCCCGATTCTGGACTCGATCCCAGGACCCTGGGACCGTGACCTGAGCGGAAGGCAGACGCTTAACCGGCTGAGCCACCCAGGCGCCCCTATATTGATTACATCGTGAAATAACAGTCTGGGAGTACTGGATTAATTTCCCCTGCTTCTTTTTACTGCTTAAAGAGGTGTCTACAAGAAAATTTTAATTGCACACGAGGCAGCCATTGCATTTCTTTTGGACGGCACTGCTCTGGAGCGATTTCTCGAAGCCGGTCCCCAACCCAGCGACAGCAGCACCTGGGAACTTGTTAGGAGTGCGGTCCCGCCGCCTCACCTGAACCTCCTGCATCAGAGGCTCCGGGGTGCGGCCCTCGGCTCAGGTGGCAGAACCGCTAGCAGAAGCTTGGGGCACCTGCCCCGGGGACTCTGCATGCACTCCCTGTGAGGATGGTGGATATGGAAGCGGCCCTTTGGGCCAGACCTAGACGAGGTGACTGATCTGCAGCCTCTCACTCCTTCATTCATCCAAAACTCCGTTACTGAGCAGAGACGAACAGCGCAGGGCCCCTGCTCTAGGAGGCTGGCAGTCTAAATGGGAAGGTCGTCCTGGGGTCTGTTCCCAAGCTGCTCTGTACACATGTCCTCACTCCCCCCTAGAATCATTCTGACTATGTCCGAATCTCATTTGTCCAGTCTAGTGTTTAGTAATTGCTTCCATGAGTCAGACCCTCCGCTACTCACTGAGCACACAGGAATGATTAAGGCCGGAGACCGGAATTCTGCCCTGGGAAGAGGCGCCCAGCGCAGGAGCTGACGGCTATGCAGACGAGGGCTTACGGGACAGAAGGACACCTGGGCAAGAAGAGCCAGAGAGGAGGGGTGCATCAGGGTCGCTTAGGGGACCCCGTGACATAGGAGGGCTGAGAATGAGAAGTGGAGAATAATGGAGCAATGGCATGTGGAAAGGAGGGGCGGTCTCTCAGCACAGAGGCTGGGAGACCTGGGAGACTGTGGCGGTGAGGGGAGGGAAGGAGGCTGGAGGGGCCCAGTGGGGCGAAGACACAGGAAGCTGCGCTACAGCAAGTGGACCTCACTGGAGGCCGTGGGAGCTGCGGTGTGGATGGTGGTGACTCTGGTGGGGGTAGGGAGGAGGACAGGAGGCTGCCTGGATGCAGGAGAAAGCCAGGAAGCTACTGTGTCCTTCCAGAGGGTGATGCGAAGGGCCTGAACCAAGACAGTGAAGACAGTGTCCTGTGGGCAGGAGAGGCGAGCCCGGCTTGGAAATGCGTCTGATGGAGGGCAGGTGTAGGTGAGAGCAAAATCAAGGAGGCCGTGACAAGGTGACAGGTGCACAGCCGTGCTGCCACCTGAGGGGAGGGAGGGAAGGATGTTGAGCTCTGCTCTCTGTGTGCAGGGGTGGATGTGCAGGGGTGTCCAAGGGGACAGGGCTGGAAGGCAGTCGAATGCACCGAGCTGTTTCCTCTTCCAGGTGAGGATTAGGACACGTGCGGACAGGCAGAGGGAAGACTGCCACCCAGCTTTGGGGAGCGGCCAGCAGCTGTCTTTGCTGCTTTGCAGGGTCACAGTTCACACTCCTCCCGTGGCTGAGCCGTGGCGTATAAGTACCCAGCCTCTCCCCCTGCCCTAGAGCTCCCCACCGGCCTGGCCACAGCCAGCTGAGCTTCTCCCCGTGTCTAACCCCTGCCTCCCCCCCACCCAACAGATGCTGGTCTCTAAAGCACATCATGCACCTGACTCATCCTGGTGCACCTGCCTCGCCCCCACCTGTGTTTATTTAGTACCTACTGTGTGCTGGAAGTGCAGCAAGAATAAGGGGGCTGCCCACTCTGGGAGGTGTTCTCAGGAAGAAGGGCCGGTTGGTCTGAACGTGGCAGGCCCAGGGCCCAACGGGGAGTCAGCACGAGCCTTGGCTCCCATCCCAGCACCGAGAGTCCCCAGGAAGAGCCCTGGGTGGTACCAAGGGGTTGACCTCCCTCCCCATGGTGTCCCCACCCCCTCTGGCTCCCGCCCGGACTCAGGTCCTGGGCCCCGAGCAGGCAGTGGCTGGGCCACAAAGGCTGGAGGGCGTCTCCTGGCTAGGGGGACTCCAAGTCTGGCTGCGAGGGGCGTCCACCCTGGCCCTCCTGGCCCCCAGGGCGGCCCAGCCTGCGGGGACCCAAAGCTTCCAACAGCGGCTGCCCAGCGGTGCCTCCAGGCGGCCACTAGAGGGCGGGGGCGAGCCGCGGTCCTGCAGGCCCGCGTGTGACCTGCAGGCAGGGCCCAGCTGGAGTCCTCTCAGCACCCCTGCTGGGAGCCCGGCTGGGTGGTGCCCGACTCTGAGGGCACAGCAGCTCGGCCAGCAACTCCCTGCGAGGGTAATGGGAACGGGCCATAAAGGATGACTATGAGCTCTCCTCCAGATAGCAAGAGGTAGGAGGAGGTGGTTGAGGGGTAAACTGAGGCACCCAACAAGAAGCAACAACCCTGTCACCCCTGTGGGTGCCCTGGGGAGCCCAGTTTGAAAAGCACAGCTCTGGGCCAACACCCTGCAGTGGGAGACCCAGGCCCTGAGAGAGGAGAGGCGGGCATCTGGTCATTTATCCTGTTCACGCAAAAGCCCTCACCCAGCACCTGCTGCCAGGGTCTGGGGGCCTCCTGGTTCCCAGGATGCAGCCCCACGCTCAGCTGCCCTCCGTCCGGCACTGACCCCCAAGGTCGCTGAGTGTGGGAGTGTCCCACAAAGCAGGGGCTTCCAACACCAGGAATCTACTCTCATCCAGCTCTGGAGGCCACGGGTGTGGGCAGGGCTGGTCCCCTCTGTGGGGGCGGTCTGTCCCGGCCTGCTGCTGGCGCCCCTCGGCATGGACACGCGCCGCACCTGTTGCTGCCCCGTCTTCCCTGCTCCCTGTGTCCCAAATCTCCCTCTCCTCCCCGTGCCTCTCCTCTCCTCGTCTTAGAGGACACCTGTCACGGGATACAGGGCCCACCCTCAGTCCAGGATGACCTCATCTCCAGATCCTTAACTGATCACATCTGCAAAGACCCTGTGGCCAAGTAACGCCATGCTGAGGTCCCGGGCGGGCGCAGGCTTGGGGGGCACTCTACTCAAGCCCCAGCCGAGAGGTCACGGGCACCCACCCTGCGGGGCTTGTGCAAGCCGGCTGCACCCCGCCCCCGAGGACCTGAGGCCTTGGGAGCCTGGCAGATAGGAGTGGTCCCAAGGTTAATTAATTATTACATTAAAAATTCACCCGTTAAGGGCCCCGCAAACAGGAAAAGTATTAATCACTCATTTCCTCAGAGTGACAAGTGCATTTCCCTAAATTCCTGTGCTGCTGACTTAACCGAATGCTAATCTCCCGGCTGCCATTCCCGTGAAGTCACAGCTCATGAATATTCCAGTGTCACAATTTGCTTTTTAAAAGGACAGACTTATTATTTCATTTTTAAGCTTGCTGTCACGAATAGTAATTTTCCAGGCCCTGAAATAATGAAATAGCCGTGATTTTCTGGTCCCCCAGATGGTCCCCGGGAGCCAGTCCCCACCCTGTAGGGGGCCGGGTGGGGGTGCCGGGCCTCCCCACCACGCACTCCAGACACACAGTCAGCGGACATGTCAGCCCACGGGAGCATCGCTGAATAAGCCGCGAGCTGGCTGCGCCCCCTGTCCTTGCCCTGAGCACTTCACAGTTTATAAGCAGGTGCCCCTCGGCTCCTGAGATCCTGCAGTCACTCTAAATGCCTGGGGCCACAACCGTGTCACCAGCCGTGAGCCAGCCCAGGAAGCAGGAAGCTTTGCAGAGGAGCTAGACAGAGGCCAGTTCAAATCCCGACACCGAGGGATCCTAGGCAAGTCGCTCTGGGCCTCCAGTGCTCACCTATGAAAAGGGGTCTCAAGCCAGGATTTGACCCAGGCTTACCCAATGCCAGAGCTAGTGTTCTTAAGCACCTCACTGCAGCCTCAGGTCTGGAGAGACAGAGAACCAGGACCCACGGCCCTGTCGTTCGGAGCTTCGATTTCCATGGAGCAGGAATGATGGCACCCCAGAGCAGACGGAGGAGGGGTACCACCCAGCAGCGTCACCAGGAGCATCTTCCCAGTGTGATCTCTACCACCTGATGCAATTATAGGCCATTCCAAGCGCCCAATAAACCATAGCAATTCACTAAATACGTGTTTAAGTGGAAAATCAGATGCCATGGCTCCCTTCCATAATTGTTCATATGGGAAGGAACTCCTTTTCAGAGATGGGCTGATGGTAGATGGGAAGCTCCTTGGACCCCATCCTTCTTCCTGAGCCTTGGTGCCCTCTTCAGCGCTGGCCTCCCTGCTCCCAGCCTGTCGCCAGACAGACCCTAAGGGCCCTCACCGTGGCCATCCCGCAGCCTGGGGGGCACCTCCTCAGCCTGGCCTTGGGTCGGCCTCCAAGGGGGCCGAGCCCCTCACCCCCAGCCCCGCACCCCACCCACCTGGGCTTCCTCATGCTCTGCACCCACAAAGCCCCCGCCCCAGCTTGCACTGTCCCCCAGTGACC